CTTCTCCGTTGACCTTTTTTCGTCGTTTATTATCTTATCCATTTAATTTTAGGTTACGGGTGGATTTTTGTGTGAGTATTTATGTTTGTGTAGGTTTGTGCCTAAGCATGCGCATCTATGCATCTACATATAGAGACAAATATGTATATATACACAAACCCACACGTGTATGCTTCTGTGTTCATGTTTGCGCGTCTGATAGGGTATCTGTCATTGTGTGCTTTTTTATGTGTGTGCGTTTCTACGTACGCTCTCCTATTCGCTTAGTTTTGGATGTTAGCTATATATATATATATATATATTTTTATGTTTAACGTTGTTATTTTATAGATACAAGTATTTAAGCAAATGCTCTGTTTATGATAAACAGTATTAAATAACATTTACCGGCCTGAATGTCCGAGAAATTTTCATAGAAAATTTTCGTTCTTTGAAATTTACTGCTTATAAACTCCAACTTTCCATGAATCTCGTACATTCATAACTTAATTCTTAATATATGACGTCATTTGTTTACATTCGATACGCCAGAGCAGTTATGAATGTACGAGATTCATGGAAAGTTGGAGTTTATAAGCAGTAAATTCGACCTTGTCTACCTCAAACGGTAAAGGCACATCAGCGTATATGACGGTTCCGTATAGGATACAGGTTCGAATCTTGTCAAAGAACGAAAATTTTCTATGAAAATTTCTCGGACATTCAGGCCGGTAAATGTTATTTAATACTGTTTATCATAAACAGAGCATTTGCTTAAATACTTGTATCTATAAAATAACAACGTTAAACATAAAAATATGTCTTTAATAAATAAATATATATATATAACATCCTAACATCCAACATAATATATATATATATATATATATATATTATGTTATGGTATTATATATATATATATATATATATATATATATATATATATTATGTTGGATGTTATGGTTAGCTATATATATATATATATATATATATATATATATATATATAGCTTACATCCTAACATACCACATAATATATATATATATATATATATATATATATATATATGTATTAAGCATTCAACCTCAAGCAAGCCGCGGGAAGACACTAGCACGCAAGGGTTACAGAGTTGGAGCGAGAACAATGGGGATTGGTAGAGGAAAGGATGTAGAGAATGTTAGGAGTTAGATCAGGGCATCTTGATATATATATATATATATATATATATATATATATATATATATATATATATAGGTTTGTCCTATATTGACTGGCAAGCACCTCCCAGAGACCCGCCTCGAAGAACTACATAGAATTGTAAAACGACGAGGTTACGCTACATCACTAATGAAGAAAGTTTTGGACTCGCAAATAATTTCTTGAGACCAACTACACAAATCCAAAGAAACTTAACGTCTAACAAACTCTAGCATATGTCTCAAAATGCAACAAGAAAAATCCAAAGATATTTACAGAAATTACAAAAAAATCTAGGCTTACTCGACAAAATGACAAACTGAAAAATATACTTAAACCAACCAGAATAACTCAAAGCAAACGCCAATCTAAAAATCTGAAACATATATTTACCTCATCCAAATTTAACCAACACACAATACCGGGAGTCACAAAATGCAACAAAAGAAGAAGTGGGCTTTGTGACCTCATTATAGAAGTTAAAGTCATACTCTTTTAAAACCGCCAAAACGCCATTCATAATAGATAAAAATTTAAACTGCAACTACAAAAATGTGATTTATGCACTTAAATGCACAAAATGCAAGAAGACATATATAGGTATCAGCCAACAACTAAATAACAGAGCTTCCCTCGACAAAAGCAACATAAAATTATTAGACAACAGAACACGCTTTGTATCACAAAACATCCATAAATGCAACCAGGTTGAATTTATAATTATGCCAATATATCAAACAGACAGGTATTCTTACCTACAAATACAGGTAAAAACCAGGACTAAATAGATCATAACCCCACACACTGAAGCACACAACATAATGGCCAAATACAGTGATCGAACCACCCGCATACATGCGCACACACTCACACAAAAAATCGAAAAATATAATGAAAATTAATTAATTATAATAATATGTGGAACTATTCACATTTTGCCTGAAAAAGCTCGCAATACCCAAAACACGTGTTGCAAAATTATGGAACATAAAGCATATATATTTTTCTTAAAAAAAAATCATTACAACCAAAAACGTTTGCGGTTTATCTCTTCCTTTTCATATATACATTTTTCTCTCGTTGGAACAACTATGATGTGTTTCCTTTTATATATATATATATATATATATATATATATATATATGTAAAAAGTGTATATAAATATAAATAAATATATATATGTATAATTATCTATATATTATATGCGCGGTACTTATTAGAAAGCGTTTGTCTGACGATCGCTAAAGCGTGAAACCCAGGGTCACAAACTCAGATCTATCCAACCAAATATATATATATATATATATATATATATATATATATATATATATATATATATGTATGTATGTATATATATATATATATGTATGTATATATATATATATAAATATATATATATATATGTAGTTGATTGTTGATATATATATATATATATATATATATATATATATATATATATATATATAGTTGATTGCATTATTTATTTTAGGTAATGTGCACATGGTGTATATTGTATATTATTTTCTCGCTTTTTATTTGTGCTTTTTTAATTTTTCTTTTCTATATTGAGCGTGCGTGTGTTTTTCAATGAGTGTAGTTGTGACAATTTATAGATATTGCGTTTACGTGTGTTTTCTATGGTTGGATATTATCTTTTTGATTATTACTCTTTCGATATTGTGGTTACCCTTTTCTGTACGCATTGTGTTTGGTATGTGTTAGATTGTACGTGTGGTGGTTTGTGTTTGTGATGGGATTTCGTTTTTTGTTTTATTTCTTTCATTTATATTAGTATTTAAATCGCAAAGTAGATACTTGTTTAAATGTCTGCATTTCTTTATTATTTCAGTATTCTGGTTTAGTAAGTTGCTTTGGTTTTTAAAGGTGATGATTGCTAATTTATCCTTCATAAACAATTTACAGTTTCTACTATTGCTATTATGTGGAGCTGCGTTTTATTCTTTCTCATTTGATTTTGCTGATGATGTTATTTTCGTTTTGGTTCTATGTTTTTTGATAGTATTGTTTTGTATTTTTCTGTTTTAAATGGCATTTGATGATTGTTATATCTTTCTTAAAAGGTTGTTTCCGTATGTAAGATTTTTCTTCCGTATTCGTGTTGTTTGTTACGATAGATTTATATTATTGTTTAGCAATTTCTTTTCAAGAGGGCAACTGTTTTGATTTCGGCGATTGCCTTTGTTGTTGTTGTTGTTGTTTTGCCGATATATGCTGTTGTGGTGATTATTTGATTTGTTGATATAAATAGATATGTATGTGTGTGTGTGTGTTTGTAGGATGTATAATAGTATCCGAGACAAAAGTAAAAGTAATGGGACAAATTGAAAATGCTATAAATGAGCCGTTTATCACATCCGATGTCCACACCACCAGAAAGTGTATGTCTGTCCATTTCGTTGTATTAAATACATACACGCAGATACGCACGCGTGATCTCACACACACACACACACACGCACGCGCGGCTATCTCTCGCTCAAATGCACACACACGCACACACATATATATATATCAAAATATATTCCATAGTTATAATTTATTACATTAAAATTATAACCATGGAATATTAGTGTTTGAGCCTTTTATATTATATTCTTACTCTGTCCTGGACATTGAGTTCTACCTGGATTCTATCCTCTTGGAATATATATATATATATATATATATATATATATATATATATATATATGTACTGATTTAAAATCCAACTGAAAACAAACGGGTGATTTTAAATCAGTACACACAAACGAGAGAGTGAATTGCGTATGTAATTTGATTTATTGTCCTTTCTTATCCTCAGAGATCCCAACACATTTTTCCTCGCATACAGTTTTGTCGTACTTTCATTCCATCATCAGACAATAGTTCCAAAAGGTGAAGTATTGTCTGATGATCCAGCGTCCTTTAAAAGGTCTCTGATGAAATAAACTATTGCAATGGAGCCTTAAATTGGTCTGTTTTTCTTTAATATTTTAGCTCTGAATTTACATTGAGCTCTCAGGATTTCATCCTCCTTGGAACTACCCATACGGATTACCAAGTTTTTTGTAACTGAACTATATATATATATATATATATATATAGAGAGAGAGAGAGAGAGAGAATAAAAAGGCTTAAACACTAATATTCCATGGTCATAATTTATTCCATTGAACCTACAAATTCAAAAAGAAAACAGAAAATAACAACTATATATAGAAAAAGAACAACTATAGAAGATATATATATATATATATATATATATATATATATATATATATATATATATATATATATAGTGAGCCAAACTTTCCTGACGATCCGTTTAGGTGAAACCTAGGTAGGTTTGTCTGGCTCACTAGGTGTATCTAGGTCTGCTCTACGGTTGTATTGAGCTCTTTTGTCAGTTAGTTGTTACTCGTATCGGGGTTTTTTCTTTGGGCTTC